CCTTTACTCTTTAGTGTTTTAGTGTTGATTTAAACCTTTATAATATACTAATTTGTAGCACACCAAACTTGTTTAAAATACTCCGATGATCTGGTCGCTAATGCAAAAACTTATGCCTGGCAATGCGTTCATTGCAAAACCTGCAATCATTGCAAAAAAAAGGGAAGAGATGTATGTGTAAACAATATGGAAAAGGTGAAATTGTGTTTAAAACTCCATCGATATATTCAGAGAATAACCAGAAAGTATTCACTCAATTTTCGTTTTTTAGTATAAGCTTTTATTTTGTGATCTTTGCGATAGGGGATACCACGTCTATTGTCTTGACCCACCGCTTGATAGAGCACCTCCAGGTAACAAACATATTAAATTCACTTTAGTCGAGTGACACATAAGACTCCACGGCAAAGCATAATGTATTATGGTAAACGTCACAGGAACTTGGGTTTGTCAGTTGTGCACATCAACTCCGAAGATCGGAACGAATTCAAATGGGGATGGTGTATCAGCGTCCTTACTTGCATACTCTGCTGATCCATCCGCGTCACATGCTGATGAATTAAACGAGAAACAAAAAGGCGCACCAATAAGAGAAAATTCAACCACAGTATTTATTGGAGATCAAACCATGACTAGAAGTATGGAAATTAACGTTCCATCGTCAGCCCCAATCGAGTTGATAACCAACTCTATTAAAAAGTTAACGGAAGACAGGAAGATTAAATTAAAACCGGATTTTCAGGATCCTCAACTCGATCTAACCAATTCTTCAGCAGGATCGAGTGCAACGCATATCTTGGGATCAACAAGGTCAACGCCATCGTCAAGTCCGATGCGTAAGAATTCTACACCTAGAAGGTCAAAAAAGGTCAACAATAGGCTTGTAGTTAACTCCAGCCAAGGTGTTTCAACCGCAAGTATGCCATCCGGTGCCTTAAACGTACACACCAATGATGAGGAAGTAGGAACGTCTCTCAGTCCTGCTCGCTCAGCATCTCATATGAGAGCTCCAAAAATTGCATTAAAACGAAAGCGAGATGATCTGTCGGATAACGAATCGAATAAAGA